TTCTGGAGTTAGATTAGTATAGTCCGCGGCGCGAAGCGCCGCGCGCACCTTTAATTTACATGCTGAACAACCTACTCCCGGCGGCCGCGGGAAGCAACTTCGACTAAATTTTTTTCGCTTTACACTTGCTTCTAAAAATTTCCTTCTCTGCCTATCCTATTTCCGCATCCCCTAAATCTCTATAACCGCCGTTTTTGCAGGACAAAATGCTGGGACTAGGGGTATATGAGTGGGGCTATATAAGCTTATTTTTCCAGAAATTAATTTCTGAAGATATTAAAGAACTGGGAAGATATAGTATTTGGACCTCTCCCCATCTCGGAGAGTGTTTTAAAAGCGTTACCCGTCAGGCCACTAAATAACTGGTAAATAGAATCAAATCCGCGGCATTAGGTCTTCCCGGACGCAGTGGGATCATGTAAATCAATGCAGGCATCCGGGTGGGGGTGGTGGTAGGCATTAGCTTGTGATTTTTCAACAGATAAGAAATACAGAAGAGTATTTGGCGAGCACGCGTGGCTTTCGATAAATTCTCTTCGGGGCCTTACATTTATAGATAGGGAGGGGGGGGTACAAAGTAATATGCTGGTAATTATGTTATCACAAAACGCAAATTCGTCATGGGGATAAGAAATATAATCATGAAAACGTATTTATGATACCTTTCCCTCCTACCGATGAAGGAAGCTTCTGCTGACATTTCACAATCATATTTTATGCAGAAGAATGTGCATACTTATCAGGTCCGCTAACCAGTAGTATTACTTTACCTGAAGGAAGGCGATTATAGGGAGTCTACCTAGCTTACTCTTTTCAACAAAATACTGTGGACAATAGACTCCTCTAGTCACTGTAAATGGTAAAGCCATCGGTTAGCTAAAAATCTCCGGACGCCTGAACAATCTACCAATTTTGTATTTGCGTTTATGAGTAAATTAAAAAGCTACCATCTTACTAAGTGGGTCTGAATATTTTTCGTTTACCCCCGTTATTGTTGCAAATTGCTATTTCAGTAAATCGACTAGGTGATTATGGCCCCCCGTTTCTGACTGTCGGTTCCTCCTAGGTATGCAGTGACATCTAACTTGTTCATAAAAACTGATCTTTTTAGCTAGTACCACCATAAAAAATTACACAATTTATACTACTGTCTGCCTGTTTGCAGCTTGCGAATATTACGCGGTTATCCCTCAGTGGCTGATGGACGGCCGCCCAAATATTTTAGTCAAATTTCAGTTGTCTGTCTTATCTACTCCAAAGGGGAAAATTAATTTCTCAAGAAATTAAAAAGCTACTATCTTTATACTTTTGTAAGATGCGTACAGTTTAGATCCTGTATGACAGGGTAACGACGCGGTTGTTATCTCTAATCCGTCATTTATTCTCAGGTTATGCATACCTCCCCTAATAACAGGCCATTTTTTAATGTCTACCATTGTGTATGTCCTCCTTCTTCGAGCACACCGCTAGTCGACGGGCAGGCTGCTTGACAAGTCGTTGACGTGGGTGGGTTAGTTTCTACGTCATACGCCCCGGAGTTAGGCGAAAACCAGAGGTCCCACCGTCTGGGAAAGCCGATACTAGATATCCTCTCGTTGTTTCCCTTATGGAAACTGTAGTCTATGGGCGAACCACATAATTACTCGGAATTTCGTTAACTCCTCATGCTAATCCGGTGACAACCAAGCTAGGACGCACTGTCGGGTTGGCCGATGAAGACCATTGTGAAGATACTCGCTATTGCTTGTATTAGCCGTTGTACCGCCGCTGGCCACCAAAAGAGTTTTTCTTAGATGAATATATTAATAGTCTGTACGCCTATATTTCGTACCAAGACGAGTGACAGGAGTAATTTGATAGAAGTCTCATTCCTCAGACATCGGCGGTGGGTAAGCTTCCATTTCGCCCAGTTGAATATAAACATTTAACCCAATAGTAAGTTATGGTTTCCTATCTACCTGATTCCGACTTTCTAATCTACAGGCCTCTTTAATCCAGCTTCATTTTATTTCTGAAAGTCCACATTCGTTTCATTCCACGAAATATCCGCCAGTTATAACAACAGACGGCTTGCCATGTAATTAGGCTTCATACAAGCGATGTCCTCTTCCCCCACATTCTTCCCATTAATTCTGGTGTGTAATGTCCACAAGGCTAGCTAACCAAATCTGAGTAGTTCGCTACTATCCGACACAATCGTCCTGCAGCGCATAGCGTTTATATGCTGTGCGTTTTGATAGCGTCTACCAACTGCCTGCTTTCTCCTTTATTTATTGACCATCTCCTCTGTGCTATTTCATAGGCTTGACCGAGGAGGAACTGATGGAAAAGGAATTAGTCTGTTTCCTGGCACCGGACTCACGCAAACGAAGTGATCTCTCCGGCCTTCTGCCGGATCGGTGTGGTCTTCCCTCGAACTCGACAGCGATTGACGACTGCTTGCAAAAGGTGCCTCCCCCCCTCTGAATTTTACTTGATCGGTTAACCTGCGTACTTTTTATAATTGCCTTAAGATTTCACCGAAATTACATCTAGAGTCTGTGGGTCACTTACGTCATGGGGCTGACGATTGTCTTTCTCCAATTTCGGTTTCTTTCGAGGAAAGCGCCTCTGCCGTGACACTTACCAGTGTTCGACTGTTAGATGTGGAACACTTGAACTGAGAAGTGCCTGACTCTGAATGGTTTATAAAGTTCAATATGAGGAGCAGTAGATTTCTCGGCCAGAGATGGCCTTTTCTGCGAGATGGCGTCAAATTGCCTGATCTCCTTCCCACTGCCTGCTGACTCTTCGCTGGGTGCTATCCGTTGGGGCTATCGCAGCCGTATTGATTTCTCTATACCCGATGCTCTCTGACTTGCATGACAAACCACTGTTTCGCCTGAGTGGCTGTATCGGTCCCCTATTTTCCATCTACAACCTTCTTAACATCGCGCTGTTATTATGTGTCACAGACTACCGAATGTATTTATCTGGTAAACTACTTGAATACTTAACGCCCTAGATGGCCTCTTCCGTTTGAACATTACTGCCCGTCCAACTTGGGAGGTCCATACGGTTCATGGAAGTTTCATGCAGTATCATGCATATAAAAGATTAGAAGGTTTGCATTGAGGTTTCGATTAGAGTAAGATGTGACCAATCTGCTTGTGAAGGGTGCATTGGTCTTTCGCTTGTTACTACTTTCATCCTAATCTGCTGTTGGCGGGGCTCGAGGGGGGAGTCCCAATCGGTGAGCATCTGCCCTAGTAACCTAATCGTATGCCTCATTCTATTTTCGACAGCCTGTTGTCTAACCTCATTCAGTCATTGTTCGGTTGATTAATGAACTGAGCCAATCATGGGAATTTCTTCAGACATCGATCTCTTGACTTACTTGATTTACAACGCTATTAAATCCGAATATTGCTTATGTGGCACACCGACTAGACAAGGGAATAAGGACACTTCGTGGTATAGTTGTCTTTGTGCAAAATTCCACAGAGGATAAACACTTCCGTGTTCTAACACTGATCCGAAACTTAAACCATAATCTAAATTTAGCCCTAACGTTAAATTCGCGACAATTTAGCG